TAAAGGTTGTAGCTAATAAACATTGCTGGACTGAATTTACATGGTCTCTTGGAGTTCCTTGGGCTAGGCCTGGCAGAAATGGTAAGATGGAGACTGGATCTAGGATGTCTAGGACCAGAGATGGCATTTTGAGAGGGGTTCACCATTGCCTCCAAGGTAGGTGGCATCTTACTCTCTACCAAGGATGAATTCAGTACTGCCTGGACCTATGCTGACATGCCCTTTCTGGTCACATGTATCATCCTAGAATGGCAAAAATCTAATTTGCAGATTTTCAGCAAATAACAATAACATAGTTTCTTGGATGAATTGCTTCTGTTAGACCAGCTTTTTGCAACCTTTTGACTCTGGAGGAGCCCTTGAAATATTTTTAGGCCTCGAGGAACCCCTGCACATTCAGGCTCAAATACAGGCCAGAAGTTACAGATTTATTCGTTTCATATGTAGGCCTGCTTATGTGCATTAACAGTGTTCTTCAACTAAAGAATGAAATTTAATGTGCTGCACAAATACTCAACTCTGGGCCAAACTTCAAACCTTCAACTGAAATAAGATGATTTCTGTTTCTGCTTTTGATGTTTGTTAATTAAGAAAAAGCTTGCGCATACATATAAGAAGTTGAAAAGTGCAGCAGAATGTCCAATGCCTTCCTATGAATGGCAGGATACTCTTCTTTCACAGAAAACCAGAACTTGTCCAGTGAATCTCATCTTGAGTGTACGATTAGACTACAGCTCACAAAGTTCTTCCTCTTCCTTCAAAGTGAAGTTCTCAGGCTGAGCAGAAGATGCAAAAAAAGGATCCCTCACCCAGTCATAACATTTATGTTCTTCCTTCAAAGTGAAGTTCTCAGGCTGAGCAGAAGATGCAAAAAAAGGATCCCTCACCCAGTCATAACATTTATGTTGAAAGGGAGAGGAAATACTAATCTATTTTGTTCTGCAGTACTTCTAGGTGGTTTTCAATTAGATCTGAGACTTTCTGGTATCCTTCCTCACTCTCAAACCTAAGCAGCAGTGGAAACATTTCAATATTTCCTTTTGTAACATGGTTTTTCCAAGCATTCAGTTTTCTTTTAAATCCAAGAATCTTGTCACTCGAAGTCTA